AATTTTGCTTGCTTCGCTGTCAGTCGAACAAACGAAGACTAAAGCGTGAATGACGCTCTGTATACGATTTTAACGCCCTACAAGTTCGGACACTTTTTAGCGCGGACCCGACGTCCATATAATTGTAAGTCAATGTACATATCATATAATATACTGTATTTCTCTTCTGCAAACTTTAGGTTAAGGGCGTCAAAGGATAATATTGAGAATTAAGAAAAAGCGTAACATTAGTCGGCGCACAATGATCAAAAATGGAACTATCTTTTTAACCGACTTCCAAGAAGGAGAAGGTTCAGAATTCGACTGTATGTTCTTTTTTTCTTTTTTTTTGTTGGAAAGGGGGTACTTCCATAGTGGTCCCATTTCATTTTGAAGAAAATCATCCTCCTCCAAGGGTGGCTGTTCACGCATGAAGATTCATTTTTATAAATAGCGCCTAACTTTAATTTAGGAGCAATTACTTTAATGGTTGATTTTGCTATTTCTCCAATTCAAGGCGTTTTTCTCTAGATATACTTTGAGTAGTGTCGTAGTGAGAACCTATTTTTATTATCTCCAGTGTCAAGTCCTGTATAGTGGCGAACTAGGGGATATTTCAATAAAACTTAGCAAATAGACGTAATTCCTTTTGAGGTCGGTTTTTTAGTACTTTGTACTGAGATTATTACTAATCCCAAATGTTGCGTAATCGACGAGTAGCAATAGAGCTTCACGTAGAAGAGTTCGTCCTGGGATGTACTGCCACCTTACCTATTTTTGCTGTCAAGCAGTAATGTAATCATTACTGGCACATAGGAATTGTCAACTTATATCTCAGTGTGCGACGGGCGCAGTGGCAGCGATCCTAACATCTTTGCGATTTGAGTGGCACTGCAACTGTTATGGATAGGCGTGTCGCTTACCACCAGGTGCAGTTTGTAAACCGAATACGACATATCGAGATTTTTCTAATTGAGAAGCTGTTTTTACTGCCCATGAATGCTTGCTAGTTTTGGGTAGTAATGGATAGTTAATATAAATCCCAGTTTCTAAACGCTATTCGTATGGGAACGTCTTTTTCCAAATGCTTAAGTGTGATGAACTATGCATTGAATTCTATGTATACTGATATCCACCGCATCATCGGTATCTGTGACAATGCTATTGAGATTCGTACTACTTCTGTTGAATATAAGTTCATGCTTACAATTGAAGATGTGTGCTAACGAATTAACCTTGCCTTACTTGCTATTGGTGAATCAGTCCTTTCTTGAAGGAACTTTCCCTGACCAGTTAAAAGTAGCAATAATAAAATACACAAAAAATACTAAATCTGACCCAAATAACTATAGACCCATAAGCCTATAGATATTTTAAACAAAAAACATTACGCGATCGGATTGTTATTAGATATGATGAAAGCCTATGATAAAGTACAGTATACCATTCTACTATGTAAACTCTATGGCTTAGGTATTAGGGGTGTAGCATATAAATGGTTGGAATGTTATTTGCAGAAACGAGTTCAGTACGTTGACATAGAATTTTTTGACTACGACACATACACAACACGCTCCTTTAGCTGACCAGCATTTTATGACAAGTTCTATACCGCAGGGCAGCGTGATTGGATGCTTACTATTTCTAATTTATATCAATGACATATCTAATGCTATCTCTGAACACTGTGTTATGTTTACCGACGATGCTGTTTCACTTTTCAACGTGAATGTAAAAATTCAAAAAATTTTGTCTTAAAAATGTCTGATCACAACTAGAGATAAATTTAAATAACACGAAGTTTATGCAATTTCACCCACCACAAAAATCTCCACTACACTTACATGTACTTATAATAGCATGCCTGTAGAAACGGTACATAGCTTCACTATGCTTGGCTTAAGTATAGACACGCATGTGAACTGGAAATGTCACACCAAAAAATTAAGAAGAAGTTGTCTAACTTTACGTACGCACTGAGGGAGCCAAAGAAAATGACTGACCTGACAACTGCAATAACCGCTTATTATGCATACCCTTGTTCCAACTTCAGTTACGGAATTATCCTTTGGGGAAATAGTGTGAGTGCACGAGAAGTATTTATAATTCAAAAAAAGTGCATCCGTATTGTCGCTAATATTACCGTATTTCAAACAATTTAAAATCTTAACTTTAGTTTCCATTTATATTCTTGAGATTTGTAAATTTATAAAACAGCACCCTGACTTCTACTCCAATCTTGACGACCTGCCCCAAGGACATACTTTTAGACCACGCAATAGATTGCTTCTGCCACAATCTCAGCTACAATTACACAGATCAGGTCCCCACTCAATGTCGGTAAAGATATTCAACGATCTCCCGCCAATCATTAAGAACGAGAAAAAGTAGTCACTCTTTCTTAATAAATTGAAATTATACCTAATTAATAAATGTTAGTACTCTTTAAGTGAATACCTTAATGACAATATAATATTGTAATAAATTTTAATAATTAAATTAATACGTAATAAATAAATCTTGAATATGTTGTATTATATATTCATATTATTGTAACTCAATTTAATCGGAATTTTATCAGTGACATACTTTTATTATACGTACATTGATAGTGAACAATTGAAGTGACTAATCGAAGCCTCGGCCTGCCTCTGATCTTGTTTTTATCCCTAAGACATGCCTCGTATGTTTAACATTGTTTTAATTTTAAGACTACAACACTTAACAGTAACAGACTCGGGAAGAATGTTCACCGGACTTGTAGATTCATGCCATTTATTTGCTTCCAATTTCGCTGTTGGAAAACCTAGTAAAGGGCATATACTATTTTCTACTTCAAAATGTATAGTTTTACTACAAAGCAAAGAACACGTCATTGTATTATTGTTAGGATTTATTTGTAATTCACAGTTGGAAACCCATTTTTGTAGATATTCATATATATATAATATATATATATATATATATATATATATATATATATTTTGTAGATCATAAATACCAACAAGTATCTTAATTTGGTTCAAGTCTTCACCGTACACAAATAAGTTATTATCTCCATTTATGTTAGGCATTGAGTTAAAGGCCGAAAAATATAATAAACCACATTCATATTTACTATCTAAACTTAGGGGAAGAGAATAACTAGATTCGAGAACTGACTTATTTCCAATTACAGTAAGTGTAACAGACATGGTGATGGACTGAACCTAAAATTTCACAGCTTCACTATTTATTTTCTATCATGAACCCAAAAATGATCAAGAAACTTAATACAAATATGTCCGCAGTAAAAATAATTGTTTCTTTGAACAATAATATAATTGATTCTGGACCCCACGTTTTTCACGAATTCTTTTGGTGGTTTTAAGTCACCATAGCTATCAAAATATTCTACATAGTTTTAAAATTTTGCGTAGGCTACCCAATGCGTGCCAGGATTTTCAGAACTATCTAAATTGATTATACCATACTCTCTTTGAAATGGCCGTTTAGACAATTAATTTCTCACGAATCCACCTAAAGGGTTATAGTTTTCGAATGTTTTAAAATATCAATATTAGTGAGTGCATGATTAGATAGCCTGCGACTTAGTTTTTTACATTTTTTGTATAAATTTGTAAACCCTGACCATAAGGTTTTACATACAGTCCTCTTCCTAAGCATAATGGTCTCGTTTTTTCATTAGGTTGTTTTAAATTTTGCATTCTTTTTTTGGCTGATTTAATAGTATTAACTGCTTTGAGCGTCCCATCAGCTCCTCCTGCCACTTCCTACAGCAGATAATCCTGCACATATTGGTATTAACGGCAGCGCATTAATAGGTAGGTAGTTAAACTGAATTCCATACCATTTAAATATCTATGTCATCAACATCACCCTTTTTTTTTAATTATTAGATAAATCCTTACCTCAAAGTAACCAGAAATATTACAGACAATTATAGCTAATTATATTTTAACTTAATTGTGTTCCAATTCCAGACAACATATTAGGGGTTAAAGTATGAAATTGCCGTTTTATTGCAATAGGTTCTTTGAATTTTCATAGAATCTTCATGGTTTGAGGTTTTCGAATGAAACTTTTTTCAAATGGTTTCTGTGATTTTTTTTTTTAAATTTGAAACATATTTGAAACATTTGAATATCGACTTTCAATTGTTTTTGTTATTCAATTTAGACAAGAAAGATGGATACTGCGAAAATTCGAGTGATTTTTGAATACGAGTTCCGACGCGGAACTAACGCGGCAGAAACAGCCCGCAATATCAATGCTGCGTTTGGAGAGGGGCCTACTAATGAATGCACCGTGCGATTTTGTTTTAAACGCTTTTGTGATGGAAATTTCGACTTAAAGAACGAGGCACGAGGAAGACCGCCCACACA